GTTATGATCACAGGCACAGTAAATTTGTTTTTCGTCTTTGACGAATTGAATACGCACAATTCATTGGCTATTTTACAAATTTCTGACTGGTCTTTCATACTATTACAATGGAAAGAGTGTTCTACGCCTGACTGTCCGGTAGACTCTACAACAGGTGTTGACCAAAACCCTGCTCGTTATCCTCATCTGAGTCAATCTCCGAGATATGACCAGACGGACTTGGCGAGCGTGAAGGCTCAGCGATCTTCGTGATGTTGACCTTCCGGTGTTTCTTCTTTGAAGGGCCAGATGTTACTTCTTTTGCAACTGCTGCCGCTTCAATGGCCTTTACTGGTTTCGGAGGGTTGCCAGTTCCCTTAGATTTTCGCACAACTTGAATTTCTACATCCAAATCATCGTCGCTAGACAATTCAATTTGTCAAATCCTTCTAAACTGGGGTTTAGAGAAATCTGGCAATTTCCCTTTGCTAACTCCAGTATTAGAAGTCATGTTTGCTGCTGCGGGTTTTACCGCAGAGTCTCCTGTTTTCTTATTCGGGCATGTTCTGCCCCAATGTCCCGGCTTGCCGCAAATATAGCATACACCCTTTTTCTGCACTTCCTGCATACTCAAAGCATTGCCCTCCTGTCGCTTCCTTGGGTCAGGAGTGCTCCTTTGCTGTTGAGTCTGTCTGGTGCCAGACTGCTTCTGCTTGGATGTATTATCCACCTCCATGGCATTCGGATCTTTGGTTGTGGGTCCCATTGATGATACCGACTGGTGAATACCCATGTCTTTGCAAATGTCAAGTACGTAATCACAGTACTCTGACCATTTCTTGGGCCACTGGGAACTTCCTCTGGCCGCAAGGACATTTCTAATTTCCTTGTGCAATTGATCTCTGATTGCCAGGATTAGTTCACCATCGGTTGAATTCATGAGGTCCGCTAGGCCTCTGAATTCTCCAATGAATTTGGCAGCGTCTCCTGCCGCTACCCTGTCATATTTCTTGAGCATTCCCAAAAATTCTTGACATGCATCCTCTTGTTGATCCATTGTGGTAAAGGCCCTCCTCATTTGGTGTAGGAAATCTTCATATTTCCCCAAATCTTTGGTGTCTTTGACCATGCGATAATAATTTCCGGCCACTACGTGGGCTCGGCCATCCAACAAAGCAAGAACACCAGTGATTCAGTCTCTATCCGAAGTCACTCTTTGGTGTGCATACCATACTGCCAGTTTTTCCACAAACTGTTCAAAGGTTTGTTCCTTTGAGTTGTTTGCGAACCTTCCTGGTTGCGCAATCCTGAACCTCCTTTCTTCTTGTTCATGCGACATTGAAGTTGCGGGCTGTTGTGCCACCATTGCTACATGATTGTTTAATTGCTCTACGAGCGAATCATAATCTTTCCTTAATTGTATATTCGCATTTTCCACTGCCGCTAGGCGAACATCGGCAGCCGTTATTTCCTCTTGTTGATTGGAAATTACTCGGTCTGCCTGTGCCATTTGCGTGAATACATCCTTTAAAACTCTTTGAACTTCTAGTTGAAGCGAGCCTGAAGTGGATTCAAGTATCTCCTTCCACGCTTGTCTAGTAATTTCATTGTTTTCATCAGGATAGTATCTTGCTATTGTTCTCTCGTCAATTCGAGGATTCAATAGATACAGTGATGGATCTATTTCAACACCAGCCATTGGTATTGAAGAAGATGATGACGACATATTTTAATTGTGGAAGTGTAGGGATATGTGTACAACTTCGTAGTAAGCGTCCTTGGTTTACTACTGACGTCCAATTGTATAATGATAAACTTTTTCAGAGCTGGTTATTCCAAATAACCAAGTCTCTGCCCAACTCCGTGTGGTCACTTTCTCGCGGCACCTCCTTTAATCTCCCGAGATTCCTATACCTATCATCACTGAACTTGTCCCTGACTCAATTTACAAACTGTACAAGTAACCGCCTGGTTACCAGCCCGTATACGTCTGCTCCTCGATAATTGATATTAGATAGGATGCCTCCTATCCGTCTTATCAAGAATTGTATTTGATCCTGCTGCGTCGTACTCAGCAATGAGTAGCCCGACTTATGCTGTAATCCTTGTAGATCACAATGGACACGATTCAGATGTTGCTTGTTAACGAACGCGGATGAGTCTTCTCTCCGTCTTCGTTGTCAGTGAGTCTGACGTACCCCTTCAGCTCTCGTATAGGGCTGTGGTATGTACTCAATTGTTTGTTCTGGTCCCGCACAGAACCTGTCGATGTCCTCTTGGACTTGTGGTGTAATAGGGGTAGGGGGCCGTGTACGAGAATAGGGGTGGTAGTACCTCTGTTCTCCTGGCGTGTCTTGACGAGTTGTTCTCCTGCTTTGCAGCCAAGGGGGAAAAGGTCTCGAGGGTTGCGGCTGCTCTCTTCGATCTCCTTCTGAGATTGATGACGAGCTTACACTGCTCTCGCTGCTGATTTCTATTGGGTCTTCTGCTATCTCTCCTATTGCTGTCACGTATTCAAGAGGTTCTTTCTCTTGCTGCCGAGCGTTTTCTTCAAGACCTTCTGCAAGTCCTAAGAAATCTGGGCGAAGACGATGGTCTTTGTACGTGGGGGGGCGTGGAAGATACACGGGGGGTGGTGGTGAATATGGAGGAGCAGCCGCTCTTGCTCTCCTCACGTCGTCATCTGCGAATGGTGAAAATGATGGAGCCCTGCTCAAATCGAAGTCGTTCGGGTCGCCGCCCAATTCTTCTGTTTGAGCCCTCTCTACTACTCCTGCAATCAAGTCTTGCTGAACCGCAGCTAATATTAGCTCGGCTTCAGGTCCTCCTACCCTCTGCCAGAGTTCTTCTTCTGATTGAGTTCTCTCGATGCTGATTAGAGTAGGCGAACTGCTTACTCTTCGCAAGAACCACTGTTGAGGGATGGGTTGGCGAGGTGATGAGGGTGTAGGTGAGTTGCTTGCCTCGACTTCTTCTGCTACGCTTGAATCTTGATCTCCTAACCTAATGGACTCCCTAAGAGTCTCCGCTAAGCCGATATACTCTCTAAAGAGTTCTTCTTCCGTAGGTGTGTTGAGTCCTCCTGCGGCAAGACTAGCAAGACGTCCTTCAACGAATTGTAGTTGTTCGGCGGGCATCCAAAAGAATGGAAAGTGGGTAAGGGGGGATTGGGTATGAGCTTCTTGAAGGTCCTGAGCAAACTGGGAAGCGTGCGACAACACTTCCCATGGGAATGAGTTTATCTGTTTAAAACAAAAGAGACGGCGATACAAGAAGGAAAGTTGTTGATGATGACAATTGACTAGTGGGATAGTCTGATCTATATGTCAAGGTTCCACCCTTGACCCTAACCCTATCTCTAACCCCAGTACTCA